TCGATATTTGTCTTGAGTGAGTAATCCTGTTTCTGAAGTTTTCATTCTCTTCTTGAAATCAAAAGCAATACTTGCAAGAAGGAAAAGGTTTCCTACCTGCCTCCCGTACTGCTTTATTTATTCCAATTATAGAAACAATTATAAATTTGCGATGCAAGAGCCCAGTTAGACCTTGTAATGACTTCCGATTGAATTCTGGTCAAGTAAACAATGCATCGAACAGGAAAAATATCTTCGTCTGAAAACAATGACCAATTACAGAAAAAAAATACACAAAACACAATTATCCTATCTCCGACCAAAATCATCAAAACCCTTTATCGCTACATAAGGACATTTTGCCTTCTTTAAGGGTTAAATCTTACCATACCCCTTGCCCCCCTCTTTTTTAGTCCTATGCCCCCTGCCTCCGCCCCCAGCGTTCCTGCTCAAAGGTCTTACATGTTTATCTAGTTTGAGTCACTTATTTTAGCAGGTGATTTTCTAAAATTGTTATTCTTCGACAAAAAATTGATGACAGTTAATTTGAATATCACCCCGAATCCATTTCGCAGAGACAATCCTTGTGACAATATTTATTTCAAAATGACCAGCATTTCAATCTTTGTGCTGTACAAAATTTAATGAAAGCGTCGAGTTTGCAAAGAGGTTTGACATGTTTTCAGACCAACGGAAATGGAATAAAATTAAACTGTGTACAAAATATACATCCTAAGCTAGTATCGCTTTTTTGAGGAGTTTATGATGCTAGTGCACCAGATACAAATTTTTCACCGAAGATTTTTCGCTCCCAATGACAAACGGGCTGAAAAGAACAGTACTTTTTAGCTCTTAATTCTTTTAGTCAGTTATTCAAGGCTAACCATACAGCTAGTTAAATTTACAACCAAAATTCCTTTCTCTCTCGAGTTTTTGTTCGTGAAAAATTTTAAATCCAGTCATATGTGTCGTAACCGAATAGTTCCTTTCAAAGATTTCCCCATTTTCTCTTTCAACAACCATATCATGCATCACGTGAGGTGAAGTGCAAGTTTATACAATAGTATGAAGTTAAGTCTGACAAAGTCATGTAGAAAAGGCGAAATCCATTTTCACCAATGAAGTAACACTGGTATCAAGTAAACATCGTGATTTACAAGAAATTCCAATTTTCTTAAAACATTACAAGAAATTTGCCATGGACTTGTGACACATTAACTTCCATGTTTACGAAAGGAACTACTGTTCGTTTATTTGCCATCGTGAAAACAGCGTAAGTAACGCAAAGAGTCAGTCAGGAAGCCTCAAATGATATTAAGTCAATCATGAAATACGTCATGTACGCTGGCTTAGGATCAGGGTTTTGAAACTTAGGCAATATGGATCAAATGTTCGCTTCAAATAACTAGACCGAAAAAAAAATATGCAATTGCGCTTTCATGGGAAGCCGGAATTTATTAGAATTCAAGAAAGAACGCCAATTAGTTGTTCTTTGTTGATGTTGAAGTTAATTTTCACGAGCAAATAAACTGATAGATTTAAGATTGCCATTAAAATGAAGACACAGTTAGTTTCGCCAAATTTCTTTGAATTTTGGTTCGATTTAGTTATTTCAATGTTTAAATTTGTTGAAATGTTTTGATTTTTTATTTATTTGCACGTGTGTTGCAGACAATTTTTAAAAAAGAAACCGGAATTTTTTGCTGTAAACATATTTTTTCCTCAGGGAAGTTTTAATTTTAGCATTTGTAGTTAGAAAATATCTGGGACTGCTTTCGTGCTGCAAGATAAAACTTGTATAGGATCGAGCAGGCGTGTAAAAAAATGAGTTCTGGCGGCATTCAATCTGGTTACACTGTCTTATGAATGCTATTTGAAAGCAACTCTCGGCTCTCCGTCCACTTTATCTTGGGAGAAAGCAATTATTTTTTTCCATTTAAGCATACAAAAAAGTATTAAGAGGGAACTATTTTCGTCTTTAATTTCAACTTTCCGAGTTAGAGTCGCGGTGAGAGGTCTTATTTACAGTTTTTTCCTCTAACGACTAGAGATAAAAAGAGCTTCTGTTTTCTTTGCCAGGTTCCAGAAACCTCCCTGACTTCTCTACGCTAGAGAAAGCTTGTAATTTGACATATACTTCTTAAGCACTCTATCGGAAATGAAATAATCGAAGTCGTTATTTTTGAAGTTGAAATGCGCTTAAGGCTTACAATTCTGTTCCTAAGATAAACGTCGAAAAAGCCTCGAGGCTCTTCGACGGATGTTACTTTCTTCTTAGCAAAACTGAAAATTTTTTAGTGATTGCCTTGTTTTGACTCAGTTTGCAATTCTGCAGAAAAGAAGATATTCTCTTAACAAACATTGTATTCTTAGTTCAAGCGAAAAGTAAAGAAATATTTCAAAGACGTATTGTTCGTATCACATCTAGAACATATTGTAGATATTGCGTTTAGATTCCAAGAACGCAAATTTAGGAGGCAACGCTGATTTTACAAAAAATATGATATACCTCAATTTCCAGCCTTCGCTCTCTAGTTGACATTTTTAAAGTCAGTCAAATGTACTTGCGAAGAGTCGTAAAAAGTATTCTCCTACAGGGCTTGTGCAGCTTGCGTCGCGCAGGGACTGATCCAATCTACAACACACTTTGAGGATTTGGTTTCAAAATGATTTAATTAATCCTTCAACCTCAATGAAGACCGAAAAGAGGGACAAAATGCAAATAAATGAAAGTCAGTCTGTTTAGAGGGTTTTTGTTCCGAAGTCTTGATCAATGTTGTTAGATGAAAATTAGTGGGGTGACACAATAAATCTAATTCAATCTTGACACCAATGCGTAGAATTGGAGTGCTCCATCTGATTTCAGTCCGATGCGTGCGGTTGCTGTTATTATTGTGTTTTCATTTCCAATCAGGTTTTTTTTTCCAGCCAAGTTTTTGGATTTGATAAGAGCCCTTTGCTAAATGTACTTCGTCTTGAAATTCCTCGTTGTATTTGCTTGAAGTAGGTTAGGAAACCCGCACATTAATGTCACGATGTTCTCAAAATCTCTCATCGTCGAATGTTTGTCTTTCAAAATGACATTTCACATCGAGCGTTCGTAATAACACTACTCTATATGGCAAATTACATACTCTGGCTTTCAAAGTAAAAATTCGGACCTGCTTTGTGAGAAAATTTGTTTCTTTTTCTAAATATTTTACCGATATAACTAAAGATAAAAAAATTATTGACTGCTCGAAGATTTTGGCGTTAATACCACAGTGTTACGACCTTTTTTTACATTCATTAGCATTCATAGCCGAGCGAATTTCGAGTTACGATCAACGAAAAGGTTTTTGAGTTTTTAATCAAATTTTTACCATGGCAATTTCGGATTAAGGTCAAAATTTACTAAGGTAATTTTATATTACAATTCTCTCTCAACCCCGAATATCTTTTGTACATTTTCAGATGAATATTCATATCGTGTTTAGATATCCTGAAGTCTTAAAAGATTTAACTGTCAGGAGTTTAGACTAGCAAAAATAGTCTAGACCTAATTTTTTTACGGGAATCCCTCAATTCAGAATCTCATCTTAAAAACACTGTTCATTTACTATAAATCGCTAATTTTCTTCGAGTTTGTTATTCTCCTTGCGTGTGTTAATTGTTAATAGATTTGCCGACAATATTTTCTGTGACCGACCACAGAGCAAATCACCTACCATGATAAATTATGTTCCAAAATTCAGTTATTCTTTGACGCGGTGTGGTTGAAAATTTTTCGTGAACTCGTCGCTTTTAGATAATTCTGTTACCAATATCATCTATAGTGTCCCAGCCTGTGGTTTCTTCTAGTTTATTCGATTACTTGCAAACCACTAAACACATAATTTATGCTCTCTAAACAATAAAAAGTATTTTACCCACCAATCACGATAGAGCTATCTAATTGGTCATTTCACCATGGCCAGAGTTTTCTGTTATTAATTTTTTCATGTCTGGGATTCGACCATTCACCAGCTTAAAAACTTAAGCAAAGCTCGTTATTTCTGTTTACTATTTAAGATGCTGTATCGGTTAGAAAGTGCAGGTATCTGGAACTGAATCGTTCGAAATTCTGGTTAACGTTTGGTATCAGATGCTGTTGGTCGAATGCGGCGCAAACAAATGACATTTTCATTAACAAAATGACAATACAAGAATATTAGAAAGTCAGGCCACTTTAGCGCTTTTATGAGATTGTTACCTGTTTCTTATTTCGGAATCAATTAAAATTTGCCTGCGATTTGATTTACGTTATCGGAAACGGTGTTATTAAAATTCACAAAGCCTCTTCCATAATAGACTTTCTTTGATGGGTTTCAAAACATGAACCTCACCAGGAGGAAGAAAAACCGCAGCTTTCTTAATTTCTTTGTTAGAAGATCAGAATATTCATGTAGCATACGAGGGACAAAAGAAAATGAAAAAAGTTAGGATCTGTTTTCAAGTTTGAGGTGTTTATTCACCAGTTACAGATATCGCAAATTACACCCTCACCACCAAGAAACCACGAAGCTTTTCATAATCAAGAAATTCTTCAATTCATGCATTATTGATTCGGCGAAAATTAATAGTTTAATGCATTTTAAAGGGATTATTTGCGCTGAAGAAAAACCACAAATTATTTATTAGCTCGTTACAATCCCGAAAGGTGCATCATACCTAGAAATCTTATGAAAGTTCTCGAATTAAATTGGATGTTTCCCCTCATCTCCTTCACACCGATTACGCATCAAAACAAGGAGCAAGGGAAGCTGAATTTGAAAAGATTAAATTACTATTAGACTACGTCTCAGAATGTTATAGAATTATAATAAACTGCGTCTCAAAAGGTTTGAGATTACAGTAACCTGCGTTTCAGAATGTTACTTTTTCAATGCACGGTCCATTTAAATTACTGCGGCAAAAAACAATACAATTTACGTCAATTAAGGCTCATTAAGTTATGCCGTAAACTAAAACCTGAATACATTTCAGGAGAACTTCAAAATGATCACCATATGTAATTAATTCGATATCAGCATCTGACATAATACAGAAAAGTCTGTGTTACACCCTGATTCACTGAATCACCGAAAAATTTTCGAAGCCTCGTTTTCATAAAAGTAACCTTATTTTCTCAAGACGTTTTTTCCGTGAAAACTGTTTCCCTAGCCATGCAGGTAGATGGTGAAATTGGGTTTCAGTTCCCTTTTGGCTATTCATCATTTCAACAATCTACATCCGGTCTTCTTCGTTTTTTATATATTTTTCAAAACAAGCCCACATCATTTGTCCCGCACTTAAGATAATTGCTCCCAATTTGTTTACCTGTCATCTCTGTTTTCAGTGAATAGTTACATGCGAGACATTCCTTCCTTGCGTGTTTCTTTTTTGGTATAGTAGTTTCATGAATTAGTAATGATTCTAAAACTAATTGTTTCAGACTATAATCAAGAAAAATAAGTGATAAATTTCCAAAATTGATAATCTCATGGGTTAGGTGAGTGTTGGTCCTGAGATCATTTCATTTCTGGACTTATCGCGCAAATTCAAATGATATTTGAAGAATGTTCTAGTTTCGGACTTCAATATTAACGTAAAATAGAACATAATTTTTGTTTTCTTCAAATTCACCTGCTCTGAGCATATATAAGGGCCTCAGCTGCATGAAACAAGGCGGCTTTACAAAAACATCAGATGAACTCAGATGAATTTTAAAATTCACCTATATATTGCAAGTGAGACGTTAAATGCCAAAATATTATTTTGCACATCCACAGTTTTGCACTAGAGTTTTGTCAGAGTTAAGAAAAATATTTTGCGGTTCCCTGCCCTTAGAGCTTTTTTAGCTCAAAGCGGGAGGTAAAATCGTTTTTTTTAATTTGGTGACTCGACTCACGTTGCATTGGACGACTGCCTTCATAAATGATCGTAAAAGTTTCTTCGCGTATACAACTTCTTGAAATCTGTCCCAAGACTAACTTTAGGTTGAAGCGGGATGGCGTTTGGTGGGTAACTTTGATTGAAACATTTTCAGCCGATGATTAATGTATATCCTGGATTAATCGAAAGATCTACAACCAAAATATGTTTTCTATTGTTCGGGAACAGGGGAAATGGAATACGTAACCGGCGCAGCAGCTATAAGGTTTCAGGAAGAGCGTTTGATATGACGATTGTAAGTCGAAATACCCGTAGAAAGATCTTTATATTCTTGTTTGCAATAATCTACGCACTTATTTTCTTCGAAGTCGGAATCGTTTACCAGGAAAATTACGGTAAGAAGACAAACAGAACGTCAGAAATTTGGCGAAGAAGGGAGCTTGAGATCGACTTCCATCATAGACCAGATGTTCTTATCGCATCCGTGTCAAGAGGCGAGGAAATCACAAAGACTGCCCTTGATGACAGTTTGCGTGCAATCGTAAAAACGACACGGCCATCATATTCGGTCAACAAGAGAAAATATCCCAGGCAAGGAGACTCAGATATTTTGGAATTTTGAATCATTTTGATACTGAATTTCAGCGACCGGAAATGCTAGATCCTAGGGACATCAGAATCAACTTGTCATCGTGCAGTTTTGGCACATCTCCTAACATACGTGAATCTGTATGATACATGCCATTTAACCTCTAATGTGAATTGTAGAAAGACTGATTTCGACCTCTGAATAATTACAACGAGACTTTTTTCAGCGTTTGAAAAACTCGGTTCAACCACGGCACTGTTTAGTACTCTACATACTTCATGGACCATAAACTTAACAGCAAAACATCTCTGTTGAGAAACTGCCTAAAGAAGGGATAGTTGCGACTTCATAGTGCCAGGCTCCCTTAAAGTCGGTCGGTCAATAAAAACAAAATCGGAATAATGTGCGTATTTAACTTTTCTTGGGTAGAATCAACCGAAATACTCGTTCATGAAACTGGTGTTCATTAAGAAGACAACGGGCTTCTCATTTGGCGTCTTATCTCTTTTGGCAAATTGAAATCACCGCTTATCAGTCAAGGCAAGTTTGCACAGCATGTTTTTGTTGAATTGAGCAACACACAGCATGCAACAATCTTCAACTGTCTCTACAATTGTTATCGATATGCAAATTAATATCGATATAAAGATCACCATGAATTTGCCCAACTGCGACGCGTTCATCAGTGAAAAGTAATGCAATAGAACGAAAACCAACCAGGTAATCTTCGCTAGATATTTTTCAGCTAATAAACAATAAACCAAGTGAAAAATAACCTGCATTTTATGGTTAGTTAATTCCCTCAAACAGATCACGTATAACGTCATTGAAAGAAACCCTTTAACTTTGAATCAACGTTTGTTTATTTCAAAACCTCCGGTGATACTCGGCTGAGAATAAGTCACACTCCTCTTTTTGACAGAAGCAATTCTGATTTAGCATACGAGCTCATCTCTTTTGACTATGACAGTCAGTGCTTTCTTTGTGTTCTTTGATAGTGAACAAGGCGGAGAAAACTGCATTGCAAGTGAAATATAACAACAAAGTGACCCTAAGGCCATGTTTTATCTCTCTTATTCAACCCACCTTAGACAATAAGACATTATATTCAAGCGGTAAGATTATAAATGATAGCAAGAGTCCCTACCGAGATTTTAGGATCATGAATCCTCAATTTCCCCATCTCATCGAATATAACATTTCTTCCAAAACCGGGATTTAACAAACTGCAACAACGGAAGCAAAATATGGAAAACCTGGCCAAGTAGGCGTGAAAAAGGCTAGGTTTATTTCAAAAGGACAATCAAATTTGCCTCTGAAATAAAAAAACGTCTTTATTAGGCAAATGAACACTTTTGTCTGAAGAGAAACCAATTTCCTAACAGCTGAAAACATAAGTTGCTCCAAGTAAAAAAATACACGAAGTTTTTCTTGACTGAGAGCACGACTTTTGTGTTTTCTCAGTCTGATTCTACAAAGCTCAAGAGAAATGATTTGAGTTCTAGACTAGATTTTGCGCAGAAAAAAACGTGTTAAATTTGTATTCATTCATTTCGTGTTTTGACGTTATATTGGGCGACTCTAATAATTCATGCACGGACTTCATTCGTGAACTGTCTTTTCGCACATCCTCACTCGCAAAATACTTACAATGTTAGCCGCTAAATTGGCCTAAAACTCTACTTTTGTGTTTTCTTTGTTGTTCCAGACAGCCTGTTTGCTTAGCGTCAAACTTTAACAGTTGCTTGTAATTGACTCCGTGTTCTAAATATCAACAATTACGCACTCTGTTCCAAAACGAATTGATTGGAGCATCGGACGACGAGACACTGATCGGAAGTAAAAGAAAGCGTGGCATGAGCAGCTTTGTGAGTCACAAAGTACATTTCTGAGGGAACACAGTAAAACCGATAAAAGCAATTTGGGTTTACTTTCGACAGTAGCATGAGGTACGCAACTTGGGTGGCAAGGAGAAAAACACCTGATTCAAACTAGTAACTACAACATTTAATTACTCGTAGACTCTTCATTCAGTTTCAGATTTTTAAAATCACATATTCAGTACAATAACCATTGCCTTATATTTGTTATTAACAAAATATCAGCTAAGTATTACATGGTAGCGCAAAGCTAATAATAGCCAATGTCCTCAACAAGTCTGGCCCTCATTACTCAAAGAAGACTCGCTATAAAACATTGATAAATATTATAACTCAAAAAGTGTTAGCAACGCTTATTCTGTACCTTTTCATACGCCATTGAAAAGTATTTAACTATAAAAATTTCACGCATAAAAAGCAAGTTTTAAAAATTACGCGGTCGTTTTTTAACGAAAACACGAAATAACAAACAATGTCAGGAAAAATTAACCTGGCGCTGTTAATTTTGACAAAAAGTAAATTCCTTAAATGAAAGAACAGCTTTATACATTCCATATTCAGAACTGTTATAACAACTTAAGTTTTAAAATTACGAGGACAACTTGCAACAAAGCAACCAGCAAGTATATGGAAGCAGGATAAATAGCTGTAGGACAATTAAAGATCCGCAATTTGAATTTAGATTTTTCCTTGACACCCTTCCGCTTAGCATATCACGGTTAGAATTTTTAAAGAAACGTAGGTGTAATTGAGTTTAAGTATTACGTCTGACAAATCGTTGCTTTGCATGACTTGCACTTAATATAGGATTTTTTTTTTTAAGACGAGCGGTTTGTGTTTGTGGCAAACCCCAAAATTAAAATATCGCATCTATATAAGCCGTTAAGTAGCACACAGGAGCTTCATGTACTTTACTTTAAAAAAACGAGTTTTAAAACACAGCGCTTTTCAAGTCGTGATAGCCTTAGAATTACGCATTAAAATAATTTATAACTCAACAAGAGCTGCGAAATAATGTGTTTTACCTAAATGCAGCGACTTTGATGCTCTCTGAGCCTTGAAACACGTTTTACAAAAGCTTTAATTTACATTATAAGCTATGGAATAACAATAAAAGCAAAAATGATAGAACATTTCGTGCAACTAGTTTGAAAGAATGAGGGAATGATCCCCTCCAAATTCTCCAACAATGCATCATTGGGCTACAATTCATGCTTTCAGCAGCAGGCAGTTTGTATATGATTTACACATAAGTGATTTGTTGAACATTGAGGAGTATCGGATCTCCTTCTTCCTGGTTAGCTGGAAGCTCTGACGACACTCCTCCATCCTTGGTGTCATTATGGCTAGTATTCCCGTTGGGCGATTTGTGGGAAACATTTTGGTCGGGTTCGATCTCAAAATCAACTTCTTCAATGACCACACCGTCAACTTTATCTAAATCCTCAATAACTTCTTCAACGACAAACTTTTCTCGACCATAGAACCAAATTAGACAACCAAACGTGATGAACGCCACAATGGAAGGAATGAAGGCAATTCCTTTCACTTCTAAGCCAAACCCAAGGTATTTTGAATTCATACGAGGATCTGTTGTTGTGTAAGATTCATTCGTAGCTGGGTTCAGGTTACTTGATCTCCACTCGTATGAAAGAGTGCTTTTGTTGGCAGTTTCTAAGAATTTTTCGTCGACGACGGAGAAAATGTACCCTTCGGAATCCGTATACTGGCCAAAGGCGAAAGGACTGTAAAAGATCTGGTTTTTCCACATGTTTAAGTCTAGAATAATTACAAGCATGATGATGCCATAGTTGAACCATTTTCCTGTTATGTGAACGTGCCAGTTCTCCTTCTTCAGACACCGGGGCAAGCGGAAGTAGAAGGAAGCTGTGTCCACCCCAGGGAGTTTGACGTCCATGGACCCTTGAAAACTAGGGAACTCCCAGTCCTGGTAGACAAATAAATATATTTTAAACAAAAACGTAACGGCAACAGTTATAACCATAACAAATCATCATGCTTTGCAATTGTCACTGTTTGAACTGAAGCAGGCTCTCTTGGACGCACGCGTATGTTTTCAGGGGGGACGTTCAGAAGCATTATGCTCGAATTTTCAAGCATAGTATTAATGACCCTACCCTCTCTTCGTAACAGGGCGTGCTTCAGATCATATCCACTGACAAGAACATTCGTTTCCTTAGCAAACTATTCCTGTGATATCTCTGTGCGTTCTTCAGTTTTTTGTCTCACCTGCATGACAATCAGCAGGTCCATAACAAGGATGAAAGACGCCAGAAAGGCTCGAGAGAGTTCATTGGTGGAGACAAAGTCTCTGTTGAGAGTATCCCACCTAACAAAGTCACTTATTATTCCAGCGGCGACAACTGCCGTGGCAACAACAAGCACAATCCAGAACAAATAGATTCGTGTGTATCCAGTCCTCCAAATCTCCCTCAAACGTTTGTTCCAGTGTGGGTACAACTTGTCCTTAAAAAACAAAAAATATGAAAAAACTTCCATCAATATGCTGTCATTTAAAGTAAACCTGGCAGGTGGGCTACAATTTAAGCAATAGCAAATAAAAAAATTTAAAAATTCAGGCTTATTGATGGGATTTGAACCCAGGCCTCTCAGATACCAGTTGCGTGCTACTTTCAACTGAGCTACAAAGCCACAGGTTGGGAGCATGGGCACTATTTAGGGGGTTCTTCTTTCCCATAGAGGAAACTTATCATAATTTTTAATGAAATAAATTTCATATTTTGTCATTTGTTTACACCACAGAGATGTCAGACCAACGGCCTCTTTGGGGCACATTGCAATCGAGTGCTTTAAAACAAAAATAAAACACACGACAAGGAGTAACTGAGAACTGGATTGAAAAATTTCTCTTACATGGACAGGTAAAAGGAAGATTAAGTCTGTACTCGAGTCAAGAGGCATTTCCAGCTGGAGCTTATCCCAATTTCCATAGCATGAAGTGACTACCCCCCTCTGGATTTGATGGTGCTCCATTGTGACATTAACCCCCTAGCAACTCATCAGATCTCCCTCATTGTTACCTGTTTATGCTCCTTGACAGAGAGTGGCAAGTGTGAGAATTAAGTGTTTTGTCCAAGAATGCAGCAAAATGAGGTGGCCAGGTCTTGAACCCAGACCTCTCAACCAGGATTCCACCACACCAACCATAATGCCCCTGTGTCTCTTAACCTTACACGTTACTTGTATGTTTTACAAGTCCAAAAGTTCGATAATACCGCTTTTACCTGAAGCATCATGTCTGTTACCATCCATGCTGTGATGAAATCACCCATCCATGTGCCTAATCCAGCTGCCTTCATGAAGGTGTCATTCTGCAGTCCTAGGTATGAAGTTATCTTATACAAGGATAGCTTGTCACCCTCAATGCTGAGGAATCCATTGTAGAGAAAGGAGAAAATAAACAATGAGACTAAAGTTGACAAGAACATCACCATCCACGAGCCACTGTCACGTTTGAACATGGAAAGTTTCATCCATCTGTTGAACACCAGTTTGTGGAAAAAGAACT